TGCTGGCTTGGGGAGTTTAGAGTTAGTCTGGCAAGATTCTGTCTAGCAGGTGTGAGCTAATAAAGTAACTGAACTGTTCCAGAACTGTCTCGTGGAGTTTCTTGAGCTTAACCTGACAGTTTGCCTGGTTATCGTCAAAAACAAAAGCAAATACAACTAGGACAAAAACAGTTGCAAAAAAAGAGAAAACCAGCAGCAGATCATATTTAATGATGCACATGGAAAATTGCAGACGATCTGCATACAACTGAAGTACCATATTAGTAGCGCAACATTAAAAATTGAACAATGACTGCATCAAAGAGAAGGGAATGACACAGCAGGCATAAACGTGGCTATTCAGGAATGTTCCAAGTGGGGTTTTTTTTTAAAGTAACAGGACAGATGTTGCAGCCACTCAAGTTCTAAAGATGAGGCAAACAGAAATCATGACATTTGTAACTAGAATTCCTTTGACAACTTGGAAAAGTCTCCTTGGGCAAAGCGCCTGAATCACAAATAGATGTGCAGAACAGCGCACAAAATATGAGAACTCCATAACTTCTACCACAAGTAGGTCTTTTGGGGAGATGAATTACGTACATGATATATGGTCACCTACTAGGAAGACGTAACTTCACCAAACTCTTAAAACTCTTATGGTGGCTTAGTTCTCCCCAGATGGAAGGAATGCAACCCCTTTTTCAGGGCAACCTCAACTTTTAAAAATAGGGTGAGAAAAGAAGGCTTAACAAGCCAAACTCGTCGAGGCCTGCCCCCTTGTAAAGCAACCCCCTTCTAATCGAATCCTCAGGTGCCTGTGGGCTCAAACCCGGCCTGGGCTCCTTCCACCCCAAAGCCAACCACGCAAGACCAGGCAGACGCTGGCAATGTTCTTGCAACCTCCTGCTGCCACATCAGCTAATGCCCCACCGCCCAGCCCAGCCCCAATAAAGCTTAGCCGAATGCAGTGTTTCTCAACCTTGGCAGCTTGAAGATGGGTGGACTTCAACTCCCAGAATTCCCCAGCCAGCATGGCT